AGACCGGAATTCAAAGCCATCTACTTCCTGTCTTGTTCACTTTCTGCTCACCAGGCATCACCTTGCTTCTCCCCCACCCCATGTCCTCACAGGAGCAAAGAGGCTGAGACAGTGAGGAAGACAGGGTGAGCGGTAGGACTCTGAAAAATCATGTACAGGAAGCACAGAGTCTCAGACTCAAGAGTCACTGTGTAGCTGAGTGTGTCCCGGGGTGGGGGTGTGGCCAAGATAAGCAACTCCTTGAGAATGAGAGTTGCTGACTCCTTGTGTGCCATTGGGGAACATAGATTCTATTGACAAAACAGTGATTCCTTGTAGGTTCTTGTGTGTGTGAGCACACGTGCACATGCACATTGAACCTTTTAGTGGGGTATCTTCCTGGAAAACAGAAATAATGAAAATCATATCTAAAGCCTGTTATACCAGGCACTGGGCTAAACATTTTATGCATTTATTCATGTAAACAATGATCTCATTAACTTAACTAAAAAAGACCTCCCGATGAGTAAATCATGATTCCATGGGCTTCCCATGAGCCCCCCTTTCTACTCTGGTTGACCACATAGGTTTCTCAAGTCAATGCTGGACATCTGTCTTGCCTTTCCAGTGTAAATTGTAGATAGTACACAGTTGCTTTTACATAGGGATAGTACAAAGCCAGTACTCCGGTTTCTCATTCCTGGAGAGGACAGGACTCCAGGTCTTGGATCTCATGCAAGCACATTCCCTGAGGAAATCACTGGTGTCTGCACACTTTTCCAGGTCATCCCTACAGGACAGTTGACACAGAGAACATAAAGATGGTTTGATGCACTTGGCACTCTGTTTAGCCCAGCAGTATGCAGTATGCATACTAGTGTGACAGGGGTTCCTAGGAGATCATCCTATCCACCCCTTTTATATTACACAAGAAGAGACAAGTCATAGAGGTTAGAGTTTGACTTCTCTGAAGCCATACACCACATCTATGGTGGAGCTTTAATGAGAACCCAGCTCTTCTGACTCTTGGTTGGGTGGTCCTTCCATTAGAGGATTAAAAAACGATCGAGGGGCAGGGGATCATTGGGATCACTGACTTAGTGGGTACAATACTTGTCATGGAAGCATGAGGACTAGATTTCAGATCCCCAGAATCTATGTAAGAGCCAGGTGTGGGGCACACTTCTTTAATCCCAGCAGCAGGGAGACAGGGAATGCAGACTGCCAGATACATAGAGCTCATAGAGCACAGTCAACTGACTAGCTCCAGGTTCAATGAGAAACTTTGTCTTAAAAATTAAGGCAGAGAACAATAAAGGAAGATACCCACCCTCTGGACTCAATGTGTGCACATATAGATGAGCACACACACACACACACACACACACACACACACACACACACACCACATATAATTTGTTTAAAAAGTAAAGTAAAGTGATATATGGGACCTGGGATAGGTAGGTAGAATTTTTAATGCTGTTCTCTCTTCTACTTGTTTGAAATTTTCCATACTAAAAAGTTTCTTTTTAAGTAGGAAAAAAAGGCCCTGGAAGAATGTTTGATTATAGCAGCAGTGGGTCCTGTTTTTACATTCACCTCTTCAAAGAAAATGTGTTTAATTCTTCCCAGAGGAATCTTGCCTGTACATTGAATTCCTCCACGTGGCACATAGCCTGTCCCGCACATAATTACTAACGATGGAACAGGGCTGGGGTTTTTCCCTTCTCTTTTGTCTACCAGCCAGTGCATAAGACATCCCTTCTTTGAAGCTCTAAGCTTCCTTGGAAGTCAGCCTCAAGCTTTTCCATTTTATTCTCCCCAGATTCTGCTCTCCTCAAGGTCAAGGTGTCCCCAACTTATCCATTACTGGGTACTGCAGTGCCATTATTTACTAAATATTTTTCTTTGAGCTGACTCATTTCATTTGCTTCCGTATGTTTTCAGAGGAAACTATACGTCATTACTGTGGATGGAAAATTAGGCATAGAATCTAGGGAACTGGTATTTAGTGTCCTCGTTACACTTACTCTAACAGCCATTATGAAACTCATAGAAGAAAAGTGTTTGTGAATGTACAACTGAAAGATCGCAATTTAAACCACGCTTTGGGAAACATTGTCATTAGCGGATGTTCTCCTGGGAAACCTTGCTTTATATCTCTTCCCAGAAAGCAGGTGTGTGTGCACGTGCACATACACAATGTGTGTGCAATGTGTGTGTACCAGCGTGTTCTCTGTGATTGAACATGTCCTCTTGGCCAGTATACCTGACTATACCTGACGTGCCGTATCCTTCTGCTCTGCCCTATGTTCCAGGAAGCCTGACTTGCATGAGGAAGAAGGAGCATATGGCATGCAGATGAACCAGACAGTCAGGGGCATCTCTCAGTGCAGCTCTCTCGTTCCCTCTCACCTCCCTTGCACCACAATGCTCGGGAAATGAACAAACTGTCCTGGTTTAAAAGAGCATTAGCCAACATTAGCCGTGGTGGAAGTGGGAAGAACATGAAGAGGACAGGAAAGGGCTGAGTCTCAGCTAGAAAACAGATGTATGGAGGAGATTATATGCTAAAGTAGAATTTGTAAATTGGGAGCTCTCATACCACTCGGGACCGCTGTAGTGAATGTCAAGGATTTAATGCTCTTGAGTTTATTGGGAGGCAGTGAGCCATGTGGAGATGAACCTGGCTTCCCAACTACACAGGCTGGTATAAATCCAACTTAAGTCATCTTGAGAAAGGACTTATGTTCTGTGAGCATCGTTTTTCAAATCTGTGAAATGGGGATAATAGTACCTTCTGTCCAGGGTTGCATTCAAGATTAACTAAGAAAAGTTCAAGCACAACACTGTAAAGCATAAGCAGTTGTGGTTTCCTTGAACTCACAAAAAGACTTCCTGATTCATTGAAGAAAGAATGAACTCTAGCATGTACAAGTTCAGGGTTAATGTGGATAGTATTTGTTCCTGAACTCCAATATTTCGAGACTGGTTTTTCCATTTATGTGTGGCAACTATCCAGTGGTATATTGATTCTAAAGGATCACCCTGTGATTGCCCAATTCATCATACTGTTCCAGGACACTGCCTTACAATTGCTAGAGGTGTCATGTGGCTTGACAGTCTCTCCAGTTCCGTTGTAAGGTCCAGGAGGACAGGATCATAGCTCCCTCACATGTACTCCCAGTGTGGGCACAACCCATGAGCATGGTGGACTAATAGAGCAAGTGTCCTGGGTCACAGGGAATGGATTTAAATTCAAAGATTGTTAGGATCTTTAGGGACATCTAACAATGCATCCCTGATTCCTGCTAAGGTTAGGGACCACTAGAAAAATAAAACAGAAAAATGCAAAGCCAAAATGTTGACTTGATGATCGATGAAGTCTAAAGGAGGGATGAAATGTGGGAAATGAAACCCCCCACATTTAATTCTGAACTCTGTCGACTCACTTCACAATGGTGGGTAGCAGACTGGGACAGTGTCTCCTTATGGTGAGAGAACAGAGAGTTGTGGGAGAAACAGTGAATGCTGCATGAATGAAGCTCTCACTATGGGAAGGGAGCAACAGAGGAAAAGATGCTTTCCCTTAATTAGGTTTCTCTTCTGTTATTTCTTCTGTCCAAGAACCAATATTCTGCTAATCTTATTAATTAGGCACCCAATAGCCAGTTAACCCATTCATCAAGCAAGCATAACCCTTGAGAGACAGCATGCTTAAAGCAGGAGGAATCTGGGTGAAAACCGACATTTAAATACAGTTCTGCTGCACACTAGCCATGCAGCCTTTAACCCTTGACTACACATGTTTCCATGTTTTCGAGCTATAATAAAGGATCCTTGATCTCCACTTCACAGGGTTGTCTCAATAGTCAATGTGATCACACATGTGTTGCTGCCTTGTGACTAGTGCAGGGGAAGCCCTTCAGAATGGTAGAGTTATCTGAAAGCTAAGGACACAGATGCTGGTCCAGTGTCCTGCTTTTGATGTTTTTCTTGGGAGAGCTAGTCATGAAAGGGACAGAGAGCACAGTTATGAGAGCATCTTGCCTTTGGAGGAGGATGCATGAACTAATTTAAAGACTCAATGGAAGGTGAGAAGTACCCAACTCTAGGTCCTATACCTCTTTCTATTCTGGTCCCTACCAGCCTCTGGCCACCTCTTTCATTCCCAAAAACATTTCAGACAGGGAGCCTGATTCAATAAGAGACCCTCCTCCAGACTAGAACTCCAGATCTAAATTGCACAGGGTCCGGTAGAGTATCTAGGGTGAGCTCAGTATTTGCTTTCTGACCAGTTGCCCAGCTCCCAAACCTTTCCCATCTGCCTGGCAGGCATCTTTTTGTGTGCAAGAAACCTTTCTGTATTCAGCCACAACAAAGGGCATCCACTCAGGTGGAGGTTTTGGAAGGAGGAGCATCCACAGTGATAGAGGGCACAAAAGAATTCTTTCCAGTGAGTCGGGTCCAAAGAAAGGGCTGCAGGGCTCTAGGCCTGATATGGGAACCTGACCTGACCTGAACCCCTATCTTGGAAGAGAGGTAGAGGAAGCTGTTGTTCTGTGACATTTATCTACTGCTATTTAAGACAGCTTCAGGTGTTCCTCACTCCGCAGACCCTGCTGCTACCCTGCAGTCTCATGGGCCCATCATCAAATAAGCTGGGAGATGAGAAACTCTGGTAAGTGCTGTGTTAAGGGAGTGCCAGTAAATGAGATCTAAGCATGGCTTCTAGGGGAAGGGACATTTCCAGAACAGCATGTGCCAAGCTCTGAAGCTAGAGAAACTTAGGAGAGCTTGTAGAAGAAGCTGGCATAGCACTAAGTGGGTACCAAACATTATTCACTCCTCAGATTTGAGGTATCTGGACACAGCTCTATGACCTTGTCTCTGACATCAGTGTACATGTTCAAATCTTAAAATCACCTTTTTTCATGTATAAGGGAAGCATTTACTAAGACCCCATGTGTCATACCAGTCACAATGACATAGAGACATCTTCAAGATCCCTTTCATTGTTCATCCGTGTAGCAAATATTTATTGAACACATACTGTGTGCCAGGTAGTACTCTAGGCACACATTGATTAGCAGTGGGCAAAGCAGACAGGAAGTCCAAGACCGGCAAAGTTCTTCTTCCTGCTAGGGATGAGAGTCAAAATTTTAACTCAAGTGTTCAAGAAAGGCCTTGGAATTGCACAGCAATTTGAATAAAGGGAATCAGTGATCTTGGAGGATAGTAGGATCTGGATTAAGATGTGGATATCCCAGGTAGAGGAACAACAGATCAGAATAACTAAGACCAGTGTGGGCTAGGCTGTCCAGCTACAAAAAGACAAAGAGGCCAGAGCTGTGTGGGCATGAGAAACAGAAGATGTGAAACCAGATTCCACAGGGACAGCAAGCTACTAGATAATGTGCCTAGGGGGAGTAAAATGAGGAGAACCTGGCAAGGTTCAAGCAAAGAATCAGTGGCCAATGTGTCACTCCAGTGTCAAGAATAGCTCAAGGGAGGCAGCAGAGGAAACGGGAGGGGCAAGGAGGAGGCATATTTCTGCAGTCAGACCCTCAGCATTGCCCACAGCCATGCCATCAGCCTTACCACAGTCTCCAAGGCCTCAGCATCTCTCAGGGTGAGTGATGGATCCCAGGGCAGCCTCAGAGTCCACAAGGCTGTCAGTATGTAGTGTGGTTCCTGCAAGCCCTGTCCTGTACCAGCTCTGCCTTTGTAGCCTGTGGGATTCTTTGTAACCAGACCTGCCGGCACACCACTTCAGGCCCCAGTTCAAGTCCTCCGGGACAACGCAAGTCCTCCGGGACAGCGCACTCCAATCAAAGAACAACAAAAGCAAAAGAAATCCCGAGACCATGAAAACTCCTGAAGCCTTTACGATTGTGCTGAGTAGCTCCAACTTTGGAATCTCATCAGCCGGCTGGATCTGAATCCTAATGACTTCGACATTCTGTGTCCCAGTTTCCTCATTTGTAAAATGAGATAATAATAGCTTCCAGGGCAGTGGGGAGGATTCAGTGAGCTGACCGATGAGAAGCTTCTGACACAGCACGTGGTATGGGGAAGGTACCCAGTGGCGACTGTTGGGAGAGCAATGGTGATAGGAGGAGGAGACCTGACCCCAGAGAGAGTACCCTCCAGCCCCTGGAAGGGGACAGGGAGGACAGCTTCTGGACAAAAAATGGGATCCCCACTGGGTGCCCAGTATACATTTCCTTTAATTCTCCTTAGCCCCACTCATAACACCCACCAGTGTCTATTGCATTCATTGACAACATGGGCCAGCTGAAGCCTGAGGCCATCAAAGAACATGCACAAGGTCAAGCATTTAAGTGGCGACATCAGGTCTGCTTCATTCCAGAAATCAATGCCTTCTGTCATTCAAACCCTGCTATGTGTATTTCCAACTCTAGCAACTTCAAGCCCGGCCTTGCAGGCATCCAGCATCTCGTGAAGCCCAGCCAACTCCCCTGGGTGGGAGGAGGTGGGTTAGAAGCCAACCAGAACTTCCCTCGTCTCTAATGGTAACATCTGCTTGCGGAGGTGTCAGGTCGATAGCACCATGTTTGACATAGCTGAACTCTGCATGCCCCCTTACTGAAATATGTCAGGGTCCTAGGGCTGCTACAACAGGATTGCATAGAAAACAGAGACATGTCCTCTCACAATGTCACAGTGCAGGTTTTGGTGGGACACTTGTCTTGAAGACTTCCCAGGGGGCACTCCTCCTACCTCTCCCAGCTCGCCTCCATGGTCATTTCTTCTCTCTGTGTCTTTTGGAGTTCAGATCTCCCTGACTGTACATAAAGCGAAGTCATGGCAGGCAAGCAACACTGACCTTATCTCAGGACTCTCAACTAACCACATTTACAAGGGCCCTATTTCCAAATAAGGTGTACTCTTAGGTTCCAGGTGGGTGTGGTCTTGGAGTGTACGCTGTTGAATCTGTCAGTTAATTCTCTGATCTCTCAAAAGCCTCCATCAGTCTCATGTGTAAAATACATTCATCCTATCCCAATATCCTCCCCAAATCTTAATGAACCCCAGCATTACCTCCAAAGTTCTATGTATCATCAACTCAGAAAACCCCAAATTTCATCATGTATTTATCAAACAAATGAAATGGAGGTATAACTCTGGGGCTGATGCAATCTCTGGCAAATTTCCTGTATAGCTGACTTCAAGGAAGAGTTCAGGGCTCCTCAGCAACGAGGAAAAAAATCATTCACCAAGGTCAGCTTCGCTGAATAGAGTGGGTCCTTGTCCTCTGCAGATCCATGCTGGGGCTCAATACAAGAAACAACGGAGTATACCTTGGGAAGAAGGCCAGCAAGAGCTGAGCTCAGGTCACCCACGGGCTTCCCTGGCCTCTAAGCCCCTCCTCCCATACCTCCTACACTTATAGAATTTACTTATGCCTTGACTCATTCTAAAAATGATTTGTGGTAGAAATAGAGCAGGATTTCTCAGGACTGGAGAGAACCACTTCCCACACCACACATGAGTCATCCCGCCTGCCTCTGCTCTGGCCAGCCTTAGAACACTGCCAACAGAGGGAACTCCCTCTCCAGCCAGCCAGAATGGGTGCAGGAGCCTCCATGCAGCTCACCTGGGCCTAGATGAGCCAGGGTCCTGGCAAAGAGGAAGGGGAAGGCACCCTGGTCCAGGAAGGCTTTGCCTAGGTGCATAGTTATTATGTGGGGTGGTGGTGTCTCCCTGTCTGTGGATATGTGTGTCTTAGGTCTTATGCTTTGGTGTTTCAAAGTGACCCTCGCTTTCAGATGACAGGACTGCAAGGCAGGCAATATGATAGAGAGAAGTACCAGAGCCGTGTGTCCTCAGGACAGGGAACCAGAAGGAACCAGGAGAGGGTAGAAAGGAAGTGATGGAAGCTCTGTCTCAGTCAGAACCCACCGGAGCCCTCAAGGCTGAGATTGAATGAGTATGCCCTGATCTCCCTCCCTTCCAAGAATTCACGTATTGACAGCCTGACCCCCTTTAGGCATGACTTTTTGACAGGACAGCATAGCATTGTTATCTATGAAGTTTATGCTTGAGAGCCACTCAATAGAGTTAGAAAAAAATTAAAAATCACAAAAGACCCATAAAACAATCAAAACCCATAATGTTTAAGTAAGTTTACAATTTTGTATTGAGTCACATTCATGGCTATCCTGGAGTGCACACAGCCCAGGTGCTGCTTGTTGGACATGCCTGCCTACATAATATATTAGAATGTGGGTGCCTCAGAGAGACAATTAGGTTATGAGGATGGAACTCTCCTAACTGGGATTAGTGCTCTAATATAAGAGGCCCCCCGGGGATTATTTCCCCATCACCACCTTGTAAGAACAGCAAGAAAGCAAATCTTCTTAGACTTCCCACCTTCTTGCCCATGAACACTAAATGCTGACTGAGCCATTGAAACTGGGGTACTGGTGTCATATCAGTGGAGAGAGAGAGAGAGAGAGAGAGAGAGAGAGAGAGAGAGAGAGAGAGAGAGAGAGAGAGAGAGAGAGAGGGAGGGAGGGAGAGAGAGAATGAGAGAGAGAGAATGAGAGAGAGAATGAGAGAGAGAGAGAGAGAGAGGGAGGGAGAGAGAGAATGAGAGAGAGAATGAGAGAGAGAGAGAGAGAGAGAGAGAGAGAGAGAGAGAGAGAGAGAGAGAGAGAAGCTATGATGCTCCCACCATAGATATGGGTGACCTAAGACTCTGGGCCACAGACACAAGACCCCTCTGACATCACTCACTCCATAGCACAGAAGTCTTTGCTCAGGGTCAGCAACCCACCCACAAATCGAAGATGCTCAAGAGCCAAGCCTCTGCAGAGGTCAGAAGAACCCCAGCCAGAGCTGGCAACCTCTGGGGCCCCCATTTTTAGAAAATTGCAGGGAGGTACTCTTCCTTCCCAAACCTCGTAAAAAATGGATGGTGTGGTTGTATAACACCCATGGCTTTTTACGAACTTCTCCTCCCTTTTAAAAAGCTGCTAACTTCAAAGGAAAAAGATCACTCCAGGCCTTTCGGTGGTTGTAATAAAATACATTCCCCAGAAGCTCAGGCTGTTTTGGCCTCAGACAAGGAGTGGTCACATGTGTGCCCATGGACCAGCTGCCTTGTTGGTGACAGGTTTTATTTCCCTTCAACTGATGTATTCTGAAAACTGTGTGCCCATGGCCCTGTCCTACTTTCCTTTTACAGGACGGTATCCAGAACTTAGTAGGGGTGCCTCACTTAAAAAAATAAACCAAGTTCAGATGCTGGCCTGGGATATATAGATACCAAGGTATCTCTTGATAAATATGATTTATCAAAAAAGTGTGTGTGTGTGTGTGTGTGTGTGTGTGTGTTGTGGCTGAATAGGTGGGTAGACAGCTCAATGAATTAAGAGGTTGTCACTCAAGCATGAGTAGTAGAGTTTGAATCTCTAGAACCTGTGTAGAAACCTGACAGGTATGACAACCATCTCTAATCCCAGTACTTAGGAAGTCATAAGGGGTTCCTCAGGGCAAGCAGGCTAGCTAGTAGAACCAGAAGTGGCAAGCTTTCAGTTCATTGAAACTTTGCTTCCATAAATAAAGCAAAGGGTGATCAAGGTAGACACCCAATGTCAGCTTTGGACCTTCACCTATACTCTTACATACTGGCATATACACACATGTGCCTACATGCATAGGAGCACACATATACGCTGCACCCACATATGTGCAAAATATGCACACACGAAAAAAATCCAAACTAGTTCCCCGAGTCATTTATCAGTGAGTTAAACTTGCGGTGCCAAGCTTTCCAATGGATTCTGTGTAAAGCAGCCTCAGTCTGCATCCACCCAGGTAGAGGTGCCCAGGGAAGCATGAAAGCAAGTGAATAGGACGAAGTACTACTGGCTTGTGCAGAGAGCACCTGGAGGACTGGTCCAGCTGCTGGAGAACTGGGGTCACAAGGCTCTGTGTATTTATGTGGGGTTTAATTTTTTATTCTAGTGCCATTCCCATTGTGAAATTCTGGAAAGAACATGTGTACATGTGAGCTGGGTCAGTAGGAGAAGTCAACTCAGAAGAAAACAGCATGCCCAGCAAGCAAGGTGCTGTGCAGTGTGTCTCTAGAACAAAACGTCCTAGGAACTGTTTTAGGCAGTGTCCTCCCTCCCTCCCTCCCTCCCTCCCTCCCTCCTTCTCTCTCTCTCTCTCTCCCTTCCTCCCTCCCTCCATCCTCTGGGCAATCAGGCTTTGAAGACATTGAAAAAAGAAAATATGGGATTTTGGATGAAAACTTAAACACCAAATCCTACAGTGTTGGAAGGGACCCTTGAGGGTCATCTAGAGCAGCTATCTTCATATCAGGCCCCAAATCACTAGGGAATGTGATCACATTCCCCAGGAGGCACAGGCCAAGAAAGTGGTAAAAAGAATTGATTTCCAGATCCCCAACTTCCATGTGGCTTAGCCAAATTCCTAGAAACTCACTCTTCCTCTTCTGGATCCATGACTACCTCCTTCCACTTTACAAATTACAGGGGCAGACTTCATCACTCTGGGGGTAGGGTATTGAGAGTTTCCTGGTACCAGCAAGTGGAAGCATTCAAGAACGGACTGCTCTAGAGGAAGAAGACCCCTCCTTCTCCAAAGACAAATGCCTGTAAGAAATAAAGAATCGCTAGGCATTGGTGGCTCATGCCTTTAATCCCAGCACTTGGGAGGCAGAGGCAGGTGGATCTCTGTGAGTTCAAGGCCAGCCTGGCCTACAAAGCGAGTTCCAGGACAGCCTCCAAAACAATACAGAGAAACCCTGTCTCGAAAAACCAAAAAAAAAAAATCAAGTGAGCCTTCACCTCTCCCCTCCCCACGTCTATTTCAGCTCCCAGAGAGTCTAGAATTTCCATGGAGATACATAGTAGGTTCATTGGAATTGAAATGTAATGTCTTACTTTTTTGGGTGAGAGGAAATCTGCACC